GACAACTCCAAATGGGCATTTTGGGGGTCAAGTTTCCTGAAGACTTGCTTCAGCACTTGCATCATTTGTCAGGCAGTGTATTAAAGGATGCACCCTTATTATTGTCCTTGGTGCTTTTGTTGTCCGGCAGGCTTGCTGAAACCCAAGGCTTGTTAGTCACCTACCCTGTCTTTCGCCCCAGTTTTTAACCGCTTCACCCAGACCTCCGCAGCAAAAACTTTATTGGGGCGAAATACAAGGGCCTGCATTGCGTGGGGAACGAGCCCGAGCCGCAGCTTTTTGATCCAACCTGCACCTGCCGGGGCCAAAGCATCGGCCACCGCATGCGGGCACGGGCGGGCATCGGGCACGGCACACTCCCCGCTCCCTCCCGCACTGTTCCCCCCGCAGGCCGCATCCATCACACGAGCGGGTTTTGTTTGTCCTCAGGGGAAAGCGGTTCCCCAGCACAGGACGCGAAGGCCCTGCCTGCCCACCCCCCGCACCCTGGAGAAGCCGCCGGCGCTCCCCTCCCTCCCTACCTGTCTCGTCCTCGTCGATGCGCAGCGCCATGGAGATGCACTCGAAGGCCCGCTTGTGACACGCCCGCACCGTCTCGGGCGCCCCGCCGGGCTCGGGCGCGTCGCCGGCCCCGGCCCTGCTGCCCTTGGCGGCCATGAGGGCGCCGCGGGAGAGGCGCTCGCAGAGCCAGGCGAAGAGCAGCCCGAGCTGGAAGGCGACGAAGCGGAGCAGGGCGAAGGCGGCGAACAGCGGGTACGAGAAGTAGTACAGGTTCCGCTTGTGCGGGGACGCCGCTGCCGTCGCCGCCCCCGCCGGCGGCACGGGGGGCGCCGGCCCGGGCGGCGAGGAGGGAAAGGCGCCGGCGGCCGGAGGCGCGGAGCTGGAGCCGGCTGAGCCCTTCTTCTTCCCTCGGCCGCCTGGAGAATTCATTCACCGCCGTCGCCATAACCCGCTGCCAGGGACTGACAACAACCGGCCATGGCGGTGGCGATGGCGGCGGCAACGCCCCTTTCGGCCGCCCCAGGGGGAGGGATGGAGGGAAAGAGGGAGGGAGAGAGGGATGCGGGCGGCCCCGGCCGGGAGTGGGGCGGGGCTTTCCAGCGCTGTGCCTGGAGAGAATCAAGGCTGCTCCAGCCGTGGCCGAGGCCGTTAGATGTCGGCACATGGAAACACACTGAGTGGACGGAGGATGAATAATTTAATAGGATTAATTATTCTGACTGGAGTCGTGAGCCGCCCCGCAGGCACAATGCAGCGCGGATCTCTGGCGTCGCTCCCGCCGGGAGTCATTGCTAGAGGCACACGAGGAGGGCCCGGGGAATTCCCTCGCACGGAGGGACGTGTGGCAGCCAGTCACTGGCGGTGTCCGTGCTTCCGCCGCCTGGAATTGCCCCCGGGAGAGCGTCCTCCCGTGCTTTGTCTGCTCCGCATCTCTGTAATGGAAATGACAGGCTGTCTGCTCACATAGAGGGAGCTAATGTAATTCAGTATACATTATAGATACATCGTCCTGGGAAGAAAAAAAAAAAATCTGAACTCTATTACCACCCTCGTTACAAAAAGTGATCACCCAGTTGTCCTTGTTTGTCAATTATTTGCCCAGCTATAATATTTATTTATTTGTGTCTCCACTAATGAGACAGATCCTCCAGCTCTCTACTCTTTCGGTTATTTCAAACCTTAAAAATGCTTTGGTACCTTTGGTCTAGGAAACAAGGGGAGGCACCCACACAACAGCATTCCCACGTTCTGTGCCTACTGCTATATTCAACAGTGTAGCAAGGCCCTTCCTCTGTGCTTCGGTCTTCCTCCCCTTTTGGTTGCCTTGCCCATTGGTTGATCTTTTTTCCTGTTGTTTTGCTTTGTCACGCACTCTGTTCTACAAATAAAATACTGAGCTCCTGATGTTAATTATGACAGATCATCTCTCTCCTACACCTCTGAACTGCACACAGTAGCCCAGAGAGTCCCCAAACAGTAGACACATAATTCAGTGCACAAGCAAGTTTCCCCTGTTTATAGCAAGAAATTGCAGTTGGTGCTGTGTGTTAATTAAAAGGACATGCCAAATTGAAATCACTGCTGTCTGCCATGTTTTATTTATTATGATTATTTATGTTTCCAAAATTACTATAAAACTACTGTTTTTTTCTTGTTTGCTTATGCCTTGTATAGTTACTTCTAGTTCCCTTGGTAATGTGTATTGATTTTCTTAAATGACTGTGTGATCTGTTTTAATGACAGAACTGATTATTTTATTACTGTATAAAACACAGAATTTTATTAAAATATAAAATAACTATTCATGACCTAGAACCATTACTAGACAGAGATAGTGAACCTGTCTCTGTCTAATTTGAAAATGTAGTAATGTACATCAAGTATTTTTCTCCTGTACTTGGTAAGAAGGATGACGTACTACTATTATGAAAATATTACTGAAGTATTTTCCAGTCCACTCATGACTGAACAAAGTTCAGCATCTTTTTTTTTTTCAGTATGCTTAACTATCCTTTAAAAAAAAAATCTCATTTGCCGATATAAAGGCTTAACAAATTTTGGAATATCAAAGAAATTCCAGAAGCTTCAAGCTGAGTTAATACTAAGTAGCATTCAAAAATGGGATGTGAAATAAGCCCCATGACAACAGATTACTGAACTACTGTCTTTATTATCTCATTACTATCTAAAGTATCATCCCACTCCTGATCAAAATCAAAAAGCTAGTGAAGAAACAAGTTTATTAACAAGGACAGATTGCATGACAATAGAAGACCATGTACCTCAGTCAATCCTGACTGGTCAATCTATTCAGTTATTTTTACTTTTAAAAAAATTTAGAATGACACCTTTGTAAATCATGTGAATGTATCATGGCAATAAAGGAGTGCACCTGTTAGGGGAATAACATCATGTTAAACCAAAAACACAGCTTCAGAAGCAGACACCAGTCAGGAATTGTGAGAAAACCTAGAGAATCAGTTCACTATTGTGGCTATTAAATATTTGAGCAATCTGCAAGTTGAATCTCCCTACCCTCCTACATTAAACTGGCTCTAGCAGTCTTTGGTCTGGTCTGTGAGATATTCTAATTAATAATCTGGCATAAGATTAATGCTAGTTTGAAAAAAAACCAACAAAACCCAACAAACAAATCTTAAACCGCATCAGTCCATTGGACGGCTTTCTGCTGGCTTAGTGAAATGTTCTGGCTCAGCAAGGGGTGATGGACATCAGCAAGGGGTGGATGAAGAAGTGAAACCTCATTTCCTGGAGTGGACAACTGTTGGATCAGCTCATCCACCTGATTTGACTTTGCTCTGAAGATTGTACCTCCTGTATTACATGAGTCCTCAATCTGGTATCTCAGCTAAAGGTTTTAGAATTAGAGCAGGCAAACACTACAGTCACAGGAATTAGAAAGATGCAACTAACCTGACACCACAACTTACCATTGCACAAAAGGTCAAGGTAGGAAACCTTTTCTCACTCCCAACACGATATCGCCACAAAACCTGAATATAATAGAGAATACATAAATGTGGAAACTGGGCTAAGGGTACAAGGATTTTTCAAGTATTCTAAATGCAATTCTCAAAAATGTCATTGCTAGAACCGCATGAAAAATTAGGAGAGAGCCTCAAAACGGACCAAAAAGCTTATACCTCTTCACATTAAGAATTTGTTTGTATTCCTGTTTTAAGTTTTAGAAAAAAAACTCAATTGTTTTGCCTTCTGTGTTTTCACCTCACCTCCTCATCAGCTAAGTTTGCCAGCACTAGGTACTAAAATTGACGCAAAGACAGTATGCAGTTCTGCTATAATTCCAAATATTTCAGTTGAGTATCAAATCTGTGACTGACCACACACAAATTTTTAAGCCTGCTTATCACACTGGTAACATTGTCAGTTCTGCAAATATGGTTGTTTCAAGTTCACTGATGTACACATACTTAATCATTACCATTACTAGATTATTATATCAGAGCACAATCTAGTGAAAACATGGCATTTACCATTATTTCTCCACGTTGTTCATCTTTTAAGAGCATCAGGTAAGTCACTCATATACATTGTCATTACTGCAGCAAGGGCAGAAAAAAAACAGACCTATTTTTATAAAACAACAACAAAAATGGTTTTCTCAAAAGAAAAAGACTACAGGAATATAACTACTTCATCAAGTCAAAAATAAAAGATTCTTAAGGTCTTTTTAATCCTCTAGCACAAACCATGTTGCCAGACAAAGAGATCACAGTATCACAGAATTGTTAGGGTTTGAAGGGGCTTCTGGAGATCATCTAGTCCAATGTCCCTGCCAAGACAAGGTCACCTAGAGCCGGTGATACAAGAACGCATCCAGGTGGGTTTGTAATGTCTCCAGAGAGAGAGACTCCACGACCTTCCTGGGCAGCCTGTTTCAGAGTTCTGTCACCCTCAGTGTAAAGAAGTTGTTCCTCAGATTTAATTCCTAATAAAAACAAAGAAATCAGGCACAAATGTTCTAGCATCGGTACAATTTGTTAACAGCGCAACAACTACAGAAGCAACAGATTCCTTCATTTTCCGACAGTTTCCAGTCGGGACAGGATGCTTAAAGCCGATACCTGGACAAAGCTGAGCAGCCGCGTTTTTGTTTACAGAGAGAAAATTAACGGCCAACAGTCATCGCTGTGAAAACCGCATTCTACACAGCTCTGGAAGGTTATGCCCCTAACAAATCCCCACTTTCAGTTCCACATTAACTTTAGCACAGTTATTTTTCGTGACCACCTCAGGGAGCTCCTCAGACACCAAACCGCGCTGACGATGAGCACAATTGTGTAGCACAAAGCCCCCAGGCACCAGCGTTTCTCAAAGGTTTGGTCAGAGCCACAAACACCCCACAAGACACCCAGGAATGACCGCCCTTCCCGAGCTCCCGCACCACTTTCCCCGCCCCGCGCACGCGCAGTGCGCCGGGGGGCGGTGGCGGCGCGGCCGCCTCACTGACGTCAGAACAACTCGCGACGGCGGCCGCGGTTGCTGCGGAGCCGCTCCTGCTGTCCCGCCGATCCCGGAGTCCCGGAGTCCCGCCGACTGCCGGTGAGAGCCCGAACCGACTGCCGGTGAGAGCCGAGTGGCGAGGCCACCTTTCCCCCGCGGGGCGCCTGAGGCACGGCCGGGGGCGGCGGCCGTACGTGGCCTGAGGTGCGGCGGAGCCCCAGCCCGGCCCTGCCCACGGGGGGTCTCGCGGCGCTGTGGCGGGCAGGGGGGGACGGACGGACGGACGGACGGACGGACGGAGGATAAGGGGTGTCTCCGGCTTCCCTCGGGGATGAATGCTGTGTTTCCTAGTCCCGGTACCGCTCTGTTCGGGGGACGTGCCCCGAACCTTAAGGCACTTCTCGGCTCTGCGTGTGGGAAAAACGCGTTCAAGTTTGGCGCGGGGGGAGCGCAGAGGAACTCTCTCTGCACTCTCGTAATTGTGCCTTAGTAACCATTAGTAACCAACTGATGCAGTATCGCTTAACTCACACTGGGCTCCATCTCACCTGCTAACCGGTGTTTTTATTGCTTTCCAAGATTTTCTGCACGTCCAGCAAATTCCAGTTTTCAAATCATGGAGGGAGAACAGATTATGGAGGGACAGCCACAGGTATTGCAATATTTTATGTGTATAATGCTACATGCATAAAAGGAGCATTTTCTCTTTGCTGACCATCTGTTATTTTACAGGTTCCAGAAAATCCGCATTCCGAATACGGTCTCACTGAAAATGTAGAGGTAACAAAGCTGTTGTTGTTGTAAAGAACAGTGGAAGTCACATTCCTGATCAAGGGAAAAAACATTGAGTCTTGAGTCTGACTTCAGCAATTGTAATGTTCCCAAGAAAGTTAGCTGGAAATCAAGCCAATGGATACCTGTCCCTTGCATAAATGGCTGTATATATTTTCTGTTATATTGCTTCCATTGCACTAAATGGTTCTGAAGTAAATAATGCACCTTTTAATGAGATGGTGGGTTTTTTTAAGTATCTTATGATCATTATCTATTCTGTCGCTATCTATGATATATATACATTTGTATAATCTATTATGCCGCAAAAAAAGCCATCTGGACTTTTATTACAGGGAGGGGAATAGAAGGAGTTTATGGTATTTCTATGGAAATATCAAAGGGACAAATTCTTTTCATATTCTTGTCAATAGAAAAATTGCATCAGAATAATCCAAGCTGTCTTTAATTACTTATGCTGAGAAGGAGCAGATACAGTTCATTCTCTTGCTGTTGGTAACAGTGTGGATTAGAGTAATAGAATCACAGGGTATTCTGAGGTGGAAGAAACCCACAAGAGTCATCAAAGTCTAGCTCCTGATCCCGCACAGGACAGCCCCAAGAATCACATCATATGCCGGAGGGCATTGTCAAAACACTTCTTGGACTTTGTCAGGTTTGAGGCTGTGACCACTTCTCTGGGGAGCCTGATTCATTGCTCAGCCTGATTCATTGCTGGGTGAAAAGTCCTTTCCTAAAATCCAATCTAACCCTTCCCTATCACAGCTTCGTGCCATTCACGAGAGAGGACATTGGTGTCTGCCCCTCTGCTTTGCCATGTGAGGAAGTTGTAGACTGCAATGAGGTCTCCCCTCAGTCTCTTCCAGACTGAACAGACCAAGTGACCTCCTCATATGCTCTTCCTCTTCCAAGCTGCTCCTCATATGTCTTCCCCTCTAGACTCTTCACCATCTTAGTAGCCCTCCTTTGGATGCTCTCTAATAGCTTTATATTTTTCTTATATTGTGGTGCCCAAAACTGCACACAATATTACAGGTGAGGCTGCACCAGCACAGAGTAGAGCAGGACAGTCCCATCCTACCTCTATGGCATTATTCCTTCAAAAGCCTTCAGTCTCCCTCCATTATAAGGTCCTGCTCTGTGCTAAGCTTTTGCAGAAACTATTCTTAAACATCTTTCATGACTTGTCTCCCCTGATATGTTGGTCCTGTATCGGTAGATTCATGTACTTTGCGTCAAATACATTTGGTTTCCTGGCAGTGGTAGGGTATCATTTTTTAACTACAGTTAATGGTGTAAGATGATTTTTGACTAAAAAGCACATGGAAGCACTTTCTTTAATGTGTCCATCAGTACTTGAATAGAGCATGGTCTCAAAGTATTCAACTTTAGCAGAGTCCCCTTTGTCAGACTTCACCTGAATTTCTTGTGCTTTTAGCATTTTGTATAAGAAGCACATGCATACAGGAACCATGTAATTGAAACTGCTCTTGTTAGTAGTCATTTGTGTCTTAGTGGTGTAGAATTCAAATCTGTGAATGCAAAAGCAGAAACAATAATTATACAGATTGGATGTCTTCTGTTTTAGAAAACTGTCGACTTCCTAACATTCTTTCCCCAAGACATAAGAATTTAACAGAAGGCTCCTCTGGATTAGGTTTCTGTGCAAGGAAAAATACGCACTTAAATTTTCTTAGAAGATGTAAAGAAGTTATTGCCAGTGAATTGCATAGAGATGGGTATTTTGTACTTCCAAAGTAGATGTGGCTGCTGTTATCAATGTGGATTCACTTTTTCTTTTGTACTTCAGAGGATAGTAGAAAACGAGAAACTAAATGCAGAGAAAACATCAAAGCAGAAGGTTGATCTTCAGTCGTTACCCACACGTGCCTACTTGGATCAGACAGTTGTACCTATCTTGCTACAGGGACTTGCTGTTCTTGCAAAAGAGAGGTAAGATGCTTCAGTGTTCCTTCTGTTCTTGGCAAAATGTAGGTCTCAAACTTGGGTGGTACGTCACCTTTCAGGCACATGGTTCTGGTAGTTGCACACGTTGTTCTGGTAGTTGTAAGAACGTCGTTACAACAGGTTTATGAACCTATAAATTACTGTGATTGGCTGTGCAGGATGTGTTCCCCAGTGAGGTGCTTATCATGCTTATTGGGTGCATATGGCATGATAAGAGTTATTCATTTAATTCATGATCCCCCAATGAGGTGTGCTACTGCAAAAGTTTTGGAGGGAAAAATGGGGTTATTTTTGTTACTAATTTTATCACGTAATTCACCTTATAAAAGTAAGGCAAGAAGTTGCTCTAGTTCTGAAGATTTTTGTAGTGTGAAATTATAAAGAGTTCTTGCTGTTTGAAAGAAAGCAAGACAAATCAGGCCTGACATGCGTCTTTGTTGGAGATTAAAATGCTTTCCAAGAAGTCAGGCTGACCCTGCACTGTCAACACAGCAAGAAGCAAACTGATAGTTTATCCTGAGTGAAGATTATGCTGTCGAGGTGCCCCAAATCTCTTACCAGTCAATGCAGAAGGGTATCCTTCAATAACAGCAAACAGCTGTTCATCTTAGCCAAAATAATTTTGAGCCTTTTAGTGTATCCTTGCTAGTGGCAAGTAGAACTGCATGTGACCATCACTCAATTTCACTGAAATAACAAAATCAAAAGCTGGTATGGATGACCATAAAGGCATCATGGCACCTACAGTCAGAACAACCATCAGCAGTGTCTTAACTTCAAAAGGAGTTGTGAATTTGAACTACAGGGTACAGACAGCTAATTAGGCAAAAATCAGGCACCTAGGAAGGTCCACCCTGTGTGTACAGCTGAGCAGTGTGCAGATCTTCAGCTGACATCTGTGGGAGTTCTGCTGCACACTCAGTATAAAACACCTGTGAGGTGCATACCCCACACTTACACTCTGGATACTTGTGTTACAGGCTAGCTTTTTCCTTTATTCTTTTTTTTTTTATTTATTTAAATCTTCATTATGGAAGAAGCTTTTTTTATGGGGACTCATCACGTGAGTGAAACTGGACCATTGATAGAAGAGGTTGGGGAATGTGTAGGTATAAAATCCAACAGTATCAAAGTGGCAGGTCAAATTGGCTGTTCAGTGGAGCATAATAACCCCTCGGGAGGGAGAAAACTGAGCTATCAGCTCTGCTGTATAATCTTCTGATTAAAATTAAAGTGGAAAGTAACTAATGGATGCCAAGTTCTTTTTCTAAGGAATATAAAAATATTCAGGGAACAGCCCATTCCGTCTGTTGGCTACGCCTGGAATTCAGTAGAAATTATGCAGGATAGTGAGCCAGTAATTGGGAGGAGTCAACACAATTTTTCGTCGGGTGTTGTAAGTGTCTTAGAGTTTATTGAAGGAGTCACCAAGCACATGTAAAGAGGAATGCAGATGATACAGTCTGTTTAAATTTCCAAAAAGTTTCTCACACAGCCATTCACTAAAAGCTTTTAAAGAGAGTTAGTTGCTGTGGGATTAAAGGAAAAGTCTTTATAAGGATGTAGAACTCAGTGGACAAAACAGAGGGTAGAAGTAAATAGTGAATTTTCGTGGTGAAATAAGATCAACACTAGAATAATGGAAAGTATAATTTATAACAGTTTGAAGAAGAGGCTGATAAAATTTGTTAATGAGACTGAGTTTTACAGACCAGGTATAGGTGTTTTGGTTTCTGTTGTTTGTTTGTTTTTTTTAAGTTGATGAATTGCAAGTAATTGCACAGGAATTTCATAAAACCCTCAAGACTGCGATGAAAAATTGAAACTATGGCAAAAAGCAAAAGATTGAATCCAAATAACAGAAAATTTTAGACCTAGGGGGGTAGTGACAAATGCTAGTGACAAAATGTTAGATTCTGAGTTGACAATTACCCGTATGAAAACATATCTTTAAGCTCTTACATATATATGTCAATGCATTGCTCTAGTAAAAAATAAATTCTGAATAGTAGTACTTAAAAATTGAAGGGGTAAAAACCAAGCATTATGTCATTATTTGAATTTATAATGTTCTTGTATTTATAATATTATGTGTAATTCCAACTCTCCTGTATTCTGGTAGAAAGTGAAAAAATAAGAAGAGTGACAAGGTGGTCAGAAGGAATACTGTCTGTCTACAGAGTGACTTGAATAGATGATATCTAGAAAAGAGACTTCTCTGGGAGAATATATTAGGAATCTGTTAAATCACAACAGTGTAGAGATGATGAGTTGGGATGGACTATTATCTCTTCTGATACAATAATGAAATAAGTGAAACAGGTAGCAAATTTATAATGAACAAAAGGAGCTGATCCTTCACAGGTCACATAATTAAGCTACATAATTTTTTTTGCCTTAGGTTGAGGACATTAAGGTTTTATTTGTGCTCAAGAGGCAACTGGTCAAAGCTGTAGAGGAATCCACCCGGACTGTTAAGGGTGGTAGCTCAGAAACTGGTACATGCTTGGGAGCCAAAAGGGTGGTCCAGAAAAATATCTCTGTGCATGTCTTCCATTTTTTATGCTTCTTTATAGGTGTATTTGCTCACTGCCAGACCTTTTGTCTGACCCAATGTGGAAAAATTAAGTTTGTCATTTATTCTGTGGACAAAATCCAGATTAGCAGGATTCATGCACTGTAGCTGGAGGAGCTTTTTTTTTAAAAAAAATTATAAACTAAGGCCAGTGATCAGAAGTGTTTATTATTGACTACTTGCAAGTTACAGCACTTCTCAAGCTTAAAGTTTTGTTGTGTTCATTTCAGTTGCCAGAAACCATGAAAACAACTTTAATCCACAAAGCTACACAATAACCGCTTGAAGAAAATGAAGCAAAAAAGCACTGACAGATTCAGTTTTACTTTATATAGCATGAGTCAAAGAAATAGGCAAATGCATGTCACATCTAATCGTGTACATACCGTATTTATACTTACAGACTATACCCTAGTTTTAGATATATAACCACAGCAATTTAGTAATATTGAACCAACAGAGACTAAGACCCCTTTTTAAAAACTTTCTCATTAGACATAAACTGGAAATTCAGAGTCACTCTAGGTAGTCAGTCATCCCTAAATCAATGCTTGCAAGTGTTTGGGAGGAGTTATGTTTCTTTTAAGGGATGGTGATCAGTTCTTCAGCTACCTAATTTCATATTAAAAAAATAATTGCTTTTGATTTACTTTTTTTTCTTTACAGACCGCCAAATCCCATTGAATTTCTAGCAGCATATCTTTTAAAAAACAAGTCACAATTTGAAGACCGAAATTAGCTCCATAAAAATGAGGACAGTTTGGCTGCTAGACTGAAATGCTCATTCGCCGCTGTTTTGTTTTCTGCTGTAAAAATCCTTTGGCCACATTGTTGTCTTTCTTAACTGCACAGTTTGCTTTACCTTTTGAGTTATTTAATAAAGAACACTTTACATTTAATTTGTTCTCTTGTTTTAAAACTAGGTATTAAGAGACTTTCAAAATAAAGTACTGAAACTGCACTGCTGGATGAAAGTCTGAATAATTCCATGGGGCTACGTCACCTGAGGGCATGGAAAAATGGGGAACAATTTGTGATGAGAATCACATGGGTGAAAATGTATATAACTTAATTGGATTTTTATGTAGCATCCCGCCACACGCAACATGCCTAAACAGAAAGCAAACAAATGAAGAACAATTAGAATTTCTTTTGAGGAAGTATTGATTAAGTAGGGAGGAGAGGACTTACTTCAGAACACCAGGAAATGGGTTTAGTTAAAACAAACAATTAGATCCAGCAGCTGAATAGATCACCTACAGACAGTGGCCAGCATTTCACATATTTGCATTAGTGAGATGTGCTGCTCAGCATTTGTCATTGATCTCCTGTGACTGGTGTGCTGGATTTAGCTGAAACACAGAATAAAGTTTGAAGTAACTTATAAAGGTTCTGTAACTCAGTTCTCTGTGCTGCTACTCCCAGCTGGAGTGATTTTTCTCTGTCAAAGATGGAATCATCAAGTTGGGATGGACCCATAAGGATCATCAAGTCTAACTCCCTCCTGCTCACAGGACCATCTAAATCATATGATTAAGAGCATCATCCAGATGCTCCTTGTATTCTCACAGGCTTGGTGCTATGACCACTTCACCGGGGAGCCTGTTCCAATAACCAACCATCCTCTGGCTGAAGAGTCTGGATGTCTTTTTCTGATGTCCAGGGTAATCCTAATCTAAGTGGTAAAATACCAAGTAATCTGATTGATTTTTTTCCCCTTGGATTTACTAATGTCTTTTGGTTTTGTTTGGTCTTCTCAAATGTTTTCATAACTTCTTTTTCTGACCCTTTGTTTATTTTTCCTGTAATCTCAGTAGAGCTAAAGGCCACAAACCTTAGGATACAATATAATAAGTTGCAGCAGAAGACAGGATCAGAAGAAAATGATAGAATTAAGACAGAAAACACCATTTCGTCAAATAATAGTATAAAAGCTCTGAAAATAAGATTATGACTGTAGAATTGACTCATTAGGTTATTGACAGCCCTCCGAATTCCTTTTTTTGTTTTTTGACACTTCTAACAAGGACCATACATAATGTTGTTCACTAGCACTGGATACTGGAATCCAGATTATGCATAGCCCTATTTTTCACAGACTGGGAGAATAAACATTTTTTTTGACAGTCACAGAAATGGCAAACTTGGCCTCCAAGAGTAGTTAAATTAATCAAAATCCTAAATTTTTATTAAAATATTTCTAATATTGCCATCTTACCATTATCATTTCCATTCAGTGTTTCTTAGCTAATTGCTTTAATATAGCAAGCAGTTAAAACTTTTAAATTAAAGTCTTTGCTGCAAGGGTTGGTTTTTCCTCATGTGCTATGAAAGGCTGCATATTTTTTTGTAATTATGCGTAAATTCACACGAGAGAGACTTGGCTCTCTCATTTGACTTGTTCCTGTAACAGTTTGTAGATACACACTGTATTTGCAGTGTAATAAGAATTATTTTCCTTAGTTCTCTGACATGTAGTTGACTTTCCTATGGTAATCTGAAGATTTTTTTTTTTTTAACAGAGCTTTTCTTCTTTAATACCTTAGATACATGGGTGTAAGAGTGGCCAGAAGAAAGATTCTTCAGAGGAAAAAAATTAACTTTTCAATTGTCTACAAACTTGCAGGGACTGAGGTCTCGTCATTACTCCTAACAGGAAGGCTCTCACTATTTTACGTATATATTAGTATGCTAACAGGGAAACATTGAATTAGTGCAGTCTAAAAGCAGTAAAATTGGGGAAAAAGTAAAAGCTGAAAGAGGTCTGTAAACCCAAAATCGAGCCTAAAAAGCTTTATTTTGGAAAATGTACCAAAATCGTGGAATGAGATTACTAATTCTATTGCATTGTGGTGAACACAGTCTCCATCAAACCATGACACTTTAAAAGATACTGAAAGGATTTTAACAACAGTGGTTTGACTTTCTGGAATGAGTAATAACATTTAAGTGAAGACAAGGAGACACGATAAAGACTTGGTACTGCTATTTTTATTGCTAAAGTGGCATTCCAAGCTTTCATAAATAACAACTTCGCAAGACTGTTAAAGAATTGTTAAAAGCAGGGGGAATCTATGCTGCTCCCCAGTTTCTATGTTGAGAATTTGTGCAAGACCATACAAAAAGAAGCAGTTCCACTATTAATCCTCCCTCAACAGAGCAATTTTCTTATATCATCATACCTGAATTCAGAATACAAAGAAATCGGACTTCTCACCTTACAGTAACACTTGTCAAGCAGCTGCATAAAATTTGAAATACTCTGTCTTTCTACACAACTCTTGCATCAACCTAGAATCTCAAAGCATCAGTACCAGTCCTAAGGCAAGCTGTCCCTGCCAGCAGCATGCCATCTACTCAGCTGCTGGTATCAGTGGTACATCATGTCATCTGCTGTTGTTTTCCCACCCAGTCTAGAGATTTAATTCAAAAGAATGAAAAAGCCATGTTCACAAGGGGATGATGTTAGAAGATTTTACTACAGCAGCTTTTCTGGGCAGCCTTCTCTGAGAAAATAAGTTTAAATGTTACTAGCAGCAGTGAACTCAACAGTCCTAAGAACTGTCATACCTTCCTGCAAAGGTATGACAAGTCAACCTTGTTTATTTGTTAAACTGGCTTCATCAGTTGAGATCTGCTGCATAGGGAATACTGTGTAACAGGAACAAGTACTAAGTTACTATCTGAATAAGCAGATCATACCTGAATAGTCCAGTTCTCAGTTACAAAAGTAATGATAAAGTCCAAATTTTCAAAGCATTTACTTCTTTTAAATGTTCCCCACTAGAAACCAATGAAAATTCTGTGAAGAGACTTGACAGATGCTTGCTATCCCAATTGAATCCAGAAACAAGGAAGTACTATTTTTCCACAGGAAACAGCAGCTCTGAAGGCTTCAAAATAAATGTATTTAACTTGGGAGTAAAAATAGATGTAGAGAAAAAGCTTAAAGAAATATTTGAAAATGGCAACTTCAGATGTATGACAGGCCACTGCTAAGTAGCTGAAAGCCATTATCTCTTGGTTTTTGAACAATTATTTTTTTTATTTCTCCACACTACCCTAGGTGAGTCAGTAGATGCTCTAAATAGCAGTAAAATTGGGCAGAAAATAAAATGGAATGCCTGGTTTATACCACAGCATATCATGCAAGATGACTATTTTAGATCTCTGATATCCAGAAGTTACTATTTAGTAACTGTGAAAGAATTATATATGAGTCATATGGAGTATTTTGAAATCTGCCTTTTTAACTGCTTCTACCGAGAACATTTATCTCTTACCTTGAAGGGAACAGTGACAGAAGAAAGAATTTCCCACTAAAAGCAATTCTGATCAAAGGATTCTACATCCTCATATTCTGAAGCCTCTTACCACCTAAAAATACAGTTTGACTTGCCAAATCTTTTTTTTTTTTTTGCATCTCCAATTTATCAAGGACTTTCTCCAAAGTCAGTACATGTCTTTGAGCTATCCATTTTATTGAAGTGTTGTCACTATTGTAAATGCAGTCTGATCAAAAGAACTCTCTCCCCAACAGACTTTCTGGAAATAAAACAGCTGCTTTCAAACAAATGAAAAATCTGAAAAATTCTGAGAGATACAAGCAGTTGAAACCAGTAGGCTGGAAAGGAAATATGAGAAGAATCCCTATGCCTACCACGCTAGAGAGAGTACAGGTTTTGATATATTCTTATCATTGTACTAATTACATAACAAATTATTCTTAGCCGAGCCTTAGCTTGTGTTTCCTATTCTATTTCATAGTGAGGATTCATTTTAAGAGTGACTACATAGCCTAGATCACAGAAGTACAGAATGCCAGCTGTTACAGAAACAGGCATTTTACCATGATGAAAAGACAATCAGCACCGTTTCTGCTCATGTTCCTCATTCAAATACAGTTTTAAGTGAGGACTTCAAATGTAAATGTGCCATGAATAATTATGGGGCAGTTTACATCAGTGCTAGTGCAACAGTGCAACAGTGACTAGGAATGTGTCATGTTCCTATTCCCAATGTGCTTTTAGCTCTCTTCAAAGTTTGCTTTGTAATTGTGCCTAAGACTCATTTTCCGAGACAAGCCTAAATTTATAAAAGGCTGCTGGGTGGTTGAGAAGTATTTACAAGATGAATAATTACCCATTGATATTATCTCAGGTGCTATTACATTATATAGGAAGTGGAAATATTTCCCTTGTAAGGACAATGAAGTTTGGGGGGGCAGGTGTCTGTTTTTAACAGCAGAAGGAAGGACTGCTTGGAACAGCAGGTTCCTCAGATGCAAAATGACAGTTTGTAAAGAGAAAAACCTAAAGTAACAGTGAACAGCTTCCTGAGAAGGGGGGGGGACAGGAAGCAGGCATTGTGAAAAGCATGACAGGAAAGAATGCAAAATAAACCACGTGCAAGAGGACAATGGGAGCAAAAACCGAGAGAGCAACCCTTGAAAGCTGGGCCAGCTGAAAACATGTGTTATCCAAGATGGGCACAGGGGGTTACTTGAGGAAAACCCTGCATGCTAAGGACACGCTAACTGGTGAGTCACTCATGCCACCCTTTGCCTTCATGCTTTTCTTCCAGGTAAGGAACAAACTGCCAACAAACACACACATGTAGCAGTGATCTGCACTTCAAGGTTATGCAGATGTGGGGGACTGTCCATGCATTGTGTCAGCTCTGCCCTGCACATCAGAGAAAAATGACAGAGCTAACAGCTCTGAACAGGTAAGTACTCCTGTTACTGCTCCCCATACAAACAGTGCTTGGAAGAATTATGGACGAAGCAGAAGGATCTCCCAACCTAACCCATGATTCACAGCATTGCACTGAAAGCTCAGCCTAGTTTCTCAGTCTGTGGCTAGAACCCTTCCATACCTCCACATCCCGAGCACTAGGAAGCCCAGCACTGCCATCTTCTACTTAACTCACAGAATCACAGAATATCCTGAGTTGGAAGGG